GATAACTATGCATTTTGAGGGAGAGGAGGTTTAAAAACATTAGATAAGAGGGGCTAAACAGACTGGATAAGTATGTTTCATCTGAGAAAGCACTTATTCTTTAAGCAGCATGGTCTTTTTTACAAACACTGTGACCCACAAGAGACTTGTTTTAAACAGCTAGACTTCTGAGTCAGTGGAAATATGGATATATTTGGCAGTGAATGGAATAATAAAGATGGCATAAAGTGCAGTCCTATTTTATCCACTTTTCTGCCCTAAAAGGAGGTGAGTGCATGAATCTGCCAGCTCATCTTACAATTAAACATAGCTACGTCCTTCAAAAATTAATTGCATTCCTGAGGCACTGAGTCAAATGTCTCGGGCACTGCTTGGAAAAGGTCTGTGTATAAGATGTAGAAAGAATTTCATGTGTTAACAATAAAAAACACAATCATTTTCAGCAAAGCTATCAACTAAGTTCTGTACAGTATTTATAGCGACACCCTGGCTGGCCATAAACATCAGATCTCCCATCTACACTCTTAGTGGCCACTTTGTTATTTATAATATTTATTACACTTAGTAGTACCTGGAAGGACTCACATTTGCCTCCGTAACAACCTCTAATCTTTTTGGCTTGAATTCATCAAGTGGGATAGAAATATAGATTTATTTTTTCACCATTGATACATTTTAAGGTCCTTGTTTTCATTCTCCCTGCTCTCTGTGAGCAGTAGAGAAAGATATACCAGACACTTTCATAAATGAGGCACCAGCATTTTATAAAAAAGGACACCAGAAACTCATTTGGCATGCAAAGGCAACATAGAAAGAGTATGAGTGTTTTTATCAGCTCTGTGTATGCCTGGGAGTATTTTGCCTTTGTGTATTTGTTTATCTCTATGCAGGCCTGTTTTATGTCCAATGGCTATGTGATGTAATCCTACCCCAGTGAGGATTAGAGGATTATGGAATATGGTGACCTTTAAAGACAGATAAAGAAACAGGTATGCAAATTCGCAAACCACACTGAAATGGACATGTGTAAAAATACAAAAAAAAAAGTCAATAAAAAAGGCACTCAGTTCTGAAAGACATGCTGGTACCAAGAGTACCTGCTTTTTGCAGGTTGTATTATATGTAATTGTATTAGCTCTAATATACACATACATTTGTGGTTCCCCCGAAGGAGCCGCTGAATGATCAGGTCTTCTGTTTCACCTCTGTGACACACAACAAGCAATGAACCCACAGCACACCAGCACACCTTTTGAAACACAAGCAACAGCAGTCTGGCCTCCCTGTGTCCTCACACCAGACTGAGGCCAGCAACCTTTTTGCCCCAGAGTTCACTTCCTTTCTCCCCTGTAGCACTCTGAGAACCGTAGTTCAAGTATCCATTTTCATTTATAATTCCTCCTCAGCTGTGTCCACAATCCCTCCTCAGCTGTGTCCTCTCCGGCTCCACCTGCAATATCTCTTCTCTTAAAGGAGCTAATACCACAACAGGGCTACAATATCAATTTGGGTGTGTGTGTAGATGGACTTTGTTTTTCTGCATTTGAAACATGCTTTGATTACAAGACAATTTAGAGTAAAGAATGTGTACGACCTCCTCATGTCCCATATACACCTCTGGACCAAGGGCTCCTGTCAACCTTTGTCGTCCATCCAGGTACAATAACTGACTGTGTTGTCGCAACACACTGACACACAAACAGAGATCCTATTATTGAATCAAGGTATAAAGCAGTAGCTGATGTGACATATGCTGATGTGTTTCACCCCTGACAATGGGCCTTTGCCATAGCTTTAATTGCATGTATGAAGATTTTACTTTACTTATGTAGCATGGATGACTGTTCTAAAGTCAGTGCCAAACTTGCTTTGATTTGTATTTCTTCTGATGCATCTGGACCTATTGAAATGAGTTCCTACTACTTTATACTTTCCTCAGTCGCAGGAAAAAGCATCTCAAATGCTCTTACACGCAGGGCCGGATTTCCCACAAGGCCAACCAAGGCCCGGCCTCGGGGCAGCAGGGAGTAGAGGGGCAGCAGGGGTGTGAAATTCCTATCTCCCGATGCCCAGGACATGCAGTTCTGGGCGCCGGATGGGGAGCTGTTTTCTACATTTAGCACTGCTTTGGGCAAGCAGAGCTAAATGTACAGCAGGGAAGCTGCCGCTTGTTTTGTAGAAGTGATCTCGGTGATGTCACTGAGATCAATTGTATGCTGCCTGCAGGTCTGCCAATCTCCATGGGGGGGGGGGGGGGGTTTTGCGGGGGGGGGCGGGGGCG